CCTTCCCTTCTCTGCTGTCCCTTTGCCAATGTAATTCATCTTTTTTTGTGTGCATGTGCAATGAGAACACTAAAGAGCTCTTTTCACTGGATTTCAAACAAACAGACAGCGTTATTAGCAACAGTCTGGAACACTTGGTCTCAGAGCTCAGATCCATCTCTTACCTAAAAGTTGCTGTTCTTTGTCTGTGTCTGCCTGTGGATCACCTATTAAGCACCCCCCCCTCGCTAAACACCTTCTTTCTCCATTTTTATGACCTTGACTGTTTGAAGTTTCACATACAGGTGAGATTGTGAGGCATTTGCCTCTGTGTCTCTGGCTTGTTTTGGTGGGCACAGTGTCATTGTCCCATCCCTGATATCATGAAAGGTAGCAGTTCATTTTTTGAAGGCTGAATAATATTCCACTGTGTGTGTACCCATGGATGAATGGATGCAGAAAGTGAATATACATATGTACTCATGAATGTATGTGTGTATTTATTATATTACACATTTATATCAATGGATGAATGACACATTAAATGTGTTACATAATCACACATAAGCAGAGATGTCTATTTGTGTGTATAATGACATGTAAACCCTTCACAGTGTCTCTGTTCATCTCTCAGTGTGTACACATCTTGGCTGTTGTGACCATGCCCCCATAGATGCGATGATGCAGATATCTTTAAAATAATGATTTTCTTTCTCTTGATTATGATCCCATCAATCCTTCAGTGGTATGTTGGTTCTGTTACCAATCTTTTGAGGCACCTCTGTGCTGTTTCCGATAAAGGCCGGACTAATTTGCATCCTCCCCAGCAGCACAGGAGAGGTGGTGGGTGTATATGCATTAAATGCAGAGGTTCTGTGACTAAATGATGGTGTCCTTTAAACTCAACGTGAGTTGGAAATGTTTCAAGTGGGAAATGTGTGTAATGCAGTGACCTGGTCCATGTACCCTGGCATGATGGTACCCTAAGACTGGGCTAACCAGGACTGGAGGAATCACTGCCCTTGCCCAGCACCTGTCACACACTGCTATCCAGGGAGAGACTACACTTTGAATTCTGAAGCATGATCACTACTGAGCTCTCACCTTTGCACTGTCACAAAGCTGAGAAATCATCAGTGAGACCACTGTGCATTGGGAACAGTGTCTGTAAACTTCTTGTTCATCAAATGGACCACAATAAGGCAGAAAACAGAAACACAGCAGAGGAGCTGTGATTCCAGAGAAGGACTGTAGAGGCATCCAGAGGCCTAAGACAGGAGACAAGTCTGAGCAGAGGGGATGGATGCCTGTAGTGAGAGCTCAGGAAATGATGGTCTCTGGCTTCTTAGTGGCCCATGGGAGAGGAGAGAAATACGAGATCTTGAGATTTTATTGCAGAGAGCATCTGTGTCTAGGGAAGAATACAAATGGTCCATTTGTGTTTCTCTTTCTTTTTGGAAATTTCCTGGGCTGCTGTGAGGGGCTGTGGGCATCAGGAGAGATAAGCTAGAGGTGATTTGAGCCAGGGCCATTTTGGAGGGTTGCCAGTGTGCAAGGAGGTGAGATGGGTGTGCAAAACTTGAGAACTCCTGGAATGTGTGGTGTGGTGCAGGGTGGGAAGGCGAGGGAGCCTTCCCTTTTGAATCTGTGCTATTGGAGGACCACAGAGATGTTCCTGGTGGAAGAGCTGGAGGAGGAGGACTTCTGCAGGCAGAATATGGGGCAAGCTGCATAGGATGGATCTGTGATCATCAAGGGAGGCTTGAGAAGACTCAGGAGAGCTGAAGACACGGGGCGCAGAGAGTTGCAGGTGACCTGTGGCCAACCCCACATTTCAGCCGCATGAAGTTGTCCTTCAACCCTGCCATCAGTCAATGGGAGTTAGCGCAGGCCCCCCAAATCAAAATGCATAATGTCTCAGAGGGAAGAGGTGAGATCAGAAGGCAGCTCCAAAATTAAGGTTAGAAGATGGGAACTGTGTTCTCTTGGGGAGAAGGGAGCACTGGATGTCGAACCCTGTCATGCAGCTAGCACTCTGCTCAGTGATGCCGGTTAAACCAAAAGGCATGGTCCCCATTGAGATTTCAGAGGCCAGCAGTTACCCGAGGGGTCACAAGCCCCCTGCACTTCTGGCTGACAGGCTGTAGACACTGGAGTTCCTGGCACCTCCTGAGCTTTGCTTGTTTGTGGAACCTGAGCCATAGGATTTAAGAAAGCGCTGCAGTTAAAGCACAGCTTATAAATAAAGATGCCTGGTGATGTATTTGGGCCCTGCCTCCTCCAAATAGTTTCTCCTCCAAAGCAACACAGACCAACTCTCCTTCGGTGATACTCGATGTTTCAGCCCTTTGTTCCTTCTCTTTGTTTTTGCCATTGTGCCTGCTGTGTGTGCTTCTGTGTTGAACATTCCAGTATTCTACATTCCAAAGGTACCGCAGCTACCAGATCTCGTGCCCTCAGCTGGCCACAGGCTCCCGGGTTTTCCTGGTGACATGCAGCCCCTGCAGTAGCACATGGCATTGCAGGCATAGCCTGACTGTGTTATCACCCACAGGGACACCTGTCCCACCCAGCTGGGTGCTTCTGAGCACTGTCCATGGTCAGCTGGCTTTGGCACAGCTGGGTGGTCCATGCCAGGCTGCTGGTCAGGTGAGGTGCTAGCTGCCCGGGAATCAACATTTTAGCTAGGACACATAGTGGGTGGCAGGTGCTTTGAGGAGCAAGGCTGGAAGTCACGTTCAGTAAAAGATAAAGAGAAGAAAGCCCGGTGGGTGTTCTGGGTCCTGACAGGCAGGCGTCAACCTCCAGCAATTCAGTCCATGATGGATGTGGAAGTGAAGTCCACCATCCAGGAAACCACACAGCAGGCATTAGGCCCACATGCTGGGAGCCGGGAGCAGGATATCTGGACAATATCAGTTTACAATCACAGAAATTGTACTGCAAAACTGAAGCAGAGGCTCGCTGAGCAGATACCTCCCACTGTCCTTTCTGTCTGAACAGAGCAGCCTCAGCTGTGGCTGGGCTGGGAGATCCGGGGAGGGTACCACTGTTACAGAGGGGAGCAGGCTGCAGCCTGGCAGATATCAGGGTGACTGTGGGCTGGGCTGCGGGGACTTGGGGAACTGAGATGTGTTCCAAGACTGCCTTTTGATTTATTTATGTTTCCTTACACCTTGTGCCTTCGTAAGAAAATGCAAACCACAGATGAGTTAAAGGTGAGTGCACAGGAGAGGAAGAAGGCACAGGGTACAGCACGAAATGGAGCAAGGATGGGGTCTGATGTGCTGCCGCTGGGACAAGTGCTCAGCTCCAAACGTTTGAAGCAACCAGTGAGAAAGAGAAACCTAATTACTCTGCTAGTTCTCAGGGTCTGTGGGAGGAAACACAAATCGCTTGCCTGTAGTTACAGAGTTCTTGATGCAGCATCACCCTGGCTTGCTGGGGAAGGGATGCCATGCTGCGTGCCATTATAAGCAGCCTTTGTAATGAAACCCTTTTAGTTGATGATTTGGTGGCTGTTTCTACTCATTGGCTGCCAGCATTTGAACAAAACAGAGCAAAACAACTAAAACAAAATTGGCCAAAGGAAATGGTCCACTTTTCCTATCTAGACTTGGCTTCACCGAAGCAAATCGAATATTGACCTGGTTGTTACTAAATGATCCCCTGGCATACATCTCCTAAGTCTGTATTTGCCTCATAAAATACCCTGGGGCCCTGGGGGATTTACAGAGATGGACCATACCTGCAATATATGAGTACATCACCTGTCCTATAACATGCCTATGGGGCATGCATGACCTTGGCTGTGTTTGTGGTCCCCTGGTTCCTTTTGGCCATGGCAGCCACAGTGAAAACCCCAGCAGGACCTTGCTGGATTGCAAGATGGGATTTGGCCTTGGCTACTGCTGGCTGCCTGGGCCTCGGTAAAGGATGCAGGAGCAGGGTGCAGGGATCCATGAGCAGTGGTGGTGGGCGGTGATTTGTGGGCCACAGAGGCTCAAGCTTCCATTTTCCTTTGCAGCAATAATGCTGTACAGCCACCCATACAGAGGAGCCTTGCTGAACGAGGACCAAATGTGAGTGGACAGACTGCCGCTGTGGCTGCTGCTGGGGTGGGGACTGGGCTGTTGGAGGTCTCTGGGTCACTCAGGGCGAGTTTGCTGCCTTGTCCACTTTTCTCAGGGGAGGTGTGTGAGGTCAGTGACACTGGGCTTGGGCGTTTCCTTGACGTGGGAAAAATGCAATTAATGGAAGGAGATGCATCCATGAGCTCAGAATGGATGGAGCCGTTGAGCGGCTGTGGTTCTAAGTAGAGATTATCCTGAGGTGGGGTGTTCCCTGCAGGGCATGGGCCCGGGCAGCTTCTGGGCTGTTTGTGTGTGTGCGTGTGGTGCTGGGGGTGGCACCCACAGCTTGGTACATGCCAGGCACGTGCTGTCCTGCAGACATGTACCCCAGGCACCTTCCAGGACAGTTTTTCCATTGACACAGACTCAGAGTGTGGGAGACAGGGCGGTGCCCCTGATGTTGACTGTGGGACACTTTCCTTGCTGTCCCTGTGGAGGGCAGTGTCACTTTCCACTGTCTCGTCACAAGGTACAGCACTCTACCCAGCTTCTGCCATTCCCCATCTGCCTTCTGTATCATACTGTGTATTTATTATATTACACATTTATATCAATGGATGAATGACACATTAAATATGTTACATGTTACATGTAACATTAAATATGTTATATACGTTAATGGCAGACCATTAAACACTGCACTGATAATGAAAGTGTTATTTATATCCTTCTTACCCAGGTAGGAACATAATATTAGGGATGAACACAAAGCCTTGGTAGAGTCTTACCAAGTTGCCAAGGCTGGGCTCAATCTTGCTATCTTCCTGCCTCAGCCTCCCAGAGGGTTAGTGATCTGGCCCAAGGATCAATCAGTGGGATGTACCTGGAGGGAGAATGGGTTTGAAATAAAAACAGGGGGGAGACAGAGATTGAAGGAAGTCAAGAGAATCTGATCAAGCCTCGTTTATTCAGGAAGTGATACATCTTTTATAGGCCAAGGGCAGGCTGGTGGGACAGGAAGAGGCTATGGGGATGAATACAACAGGGTCATCGTCATGTCCGGGTATGTGACATAAGTAGGGGAGGATTATGGTTAATGTAGGCAGACGCATTATGTGTCCATAGGAGAGAGGCGGGGAGGCAACACTGGGGCTGTCGCACTGCTTCCTACATCTCCTCCCTTTCTATATTATTTAATCAGGAGTATGGCAGGCCCTGTGAGGACAGTGCCTGTTTTAGGTCATGGAACCTCATTACATGAACCCAACCAGGCCTTACCTGTCATGGGCGTGCAGGACAGCAGTTGATCCTGTGCCTGTCTTAGGCAGCCGATGGAGTAACATGTTTGTCCTAGTTGCCCATCTCTGGCTGCCTGTCCATTGCCCCAGGGCAGTTAGGCCGCATCGTCATATGGGCCACTCATGGGAATTCCTTCCTGGTAGGTTTGTTGATCTGCCATCTCCAGCTGGTGATAGTGCCATCTCCAGCTGGTGATAGACACGTTTATGGCAAAGCCCATTTTGGGCTTTGCCATAAACGTGTCTATCCGGTTATTAATGAGCATCATAATCCTTTGAAAAATATAAGGACCCACAGAAAGGAGAAGCAACAGGGCAGCTAGGGGACCCAAAAGGGGCACTAGGTAGGGGAAAAGTCCCCACCCCCACATCAAGGAGAAGGGGTTGGCAGCCATTTGTTGTTGTCGCTGTTGAAGGCATTTTTCTATTTCTTGGAGCTTGCCTCGCACAACACTGGACTGACTGACATAGAAGCAACATTTTTTCACAGTCTATTTGGCTGACTTGTGTTCCTCCAGACTGAAAAGGGCCTCTTCTGCAGTCTCAGGGGGTTCTATGTATGGCTGTCAGCAGTTGTAGTCTGTTTGGCAGGGTCTAAATCCACCATGGGCGTGGTACGGTCTGAGGAGAAGGCTGAGTAGGCAGCATAAGGCTCCAGGGAGTTGTGTCATCTGTAAAAGAGCACAGGGGCTTGTGCCTCAGGAAATGACATTATTCCTGGGCATTGCATGGGATCTTTAAAGAACTGTCTACTTGTTTTGTAAGGCGCTCAGGTAGCCATCTAGCCTCTCTGTCTTGTTGAGAATATACACATACTGAACCATGTCGCCATATGAGAACGGGGTCAGGGCCATGCCATGAATTAGTCAGGGGGTCTCTCCATAGTACAGAAGCAAATTGCTTTTGTGTTTCAGAATGCCAAAAACGCATGGCTGCTGACTGTCCAGAAGCATGCAAATTTAAAAAATTAAGGATGAATAAGGCATGAGATAGAATATTTTTAAGTGTCCTCCTTTTGGTACCATTCCCCTTTTTTTATTTTATCAACAGTGAGTTTTAGGGAGAGATGTGCCCTTTAACTATGCCTTGACCTTGAGGGTTATAAGGTATGCCCTTTATATGATCAATATTAAGATGTTGACAGAAACGAGCAAAGGCAGAACTAGCATAGCCCGGACCACCACCAGCCTTCAATTGCTGTGGGCATCCCAAAACTGACAAGGCAGCCAACACATGGCTAACAACATGGGTAGCTTCGCCAGTCTGGGGAGAGGCATAAATGAAACCACTAAAGATATCTATAGTTATATGAACATATTTAAGATTGCCAAGCTCAGGAATGTGGATGATATCCATTTGCCATAATGCACTGGGAATAAGTCCTCTAGGATTAACCCCAAAGTATGGAATTGGGAGGTGCACGGCCCAAGAAGGGCAATTTTCTGTTATCTGTCTGGCTTGTTTTTTAGTGATCTTAATACAGAATTACAGAAAAATAAATGGTAAGAAATCAACAGTTAATAAGTTACATACTGTCATCTCAGAAATAGTCACCCAGGCCACAAAATCAAAGCACGTAAAGTGACATCCAAACAATGACACTGCCAACAGCTCCACCCAACGATCCAACAAAAACCCAGTAACATGGTTATCAGTCCCATACACCTGTTCCTCATCTCAAAGAGGGCAAGACCAAACATATCAAAACAGAACAAAACAATTAAAAAAAAAGATTTAAAGAAATACAGATTTCAAAGCAAGTCCACTGGAGTTCTTCACTGTTTACTTAATTATCTCTAGTTTCCTCCAAACAGTTGTCCCCATCTTCACGCACATTAAATACACACTGCATACTATAGAACTAATCAAATCATCACAGGATGATGAAGGCTCCTTAGGTTTTTAAGATCTGACATTGGGGAAGACAATAATAACTATCACAGTGTCTCTCATTTTTTTCTCAGGAGCTGTAAGGCCATATTGGGCAACTGCTGTCTTTAATTCTTTTAAAGCTGCCACTGTGAATGGCCTATGGGTCCTAATGACTTGTGGAACTAGTGGTGCGGCGCTCACACCGTCTTGTGGCTATGTGGTGCCATCTTGGGGATGTACATTTGTTTCCATCACCGGAAATGCAATTTTGGGGAGGGGCCCACCCTGTTGTGGCAGAAGTGAGGCAAGTGCCATTTTAAGAGTGCCATGAGGCCTGCCAGAGGCAGGCACCATCTTAGGAGCACTATAAGGCTGTGTAGCTCGGAAGGCCTTGTGCAACCGACTCCTCAATCTGAGGATCTGCATGCTGTTGGGCAAGCAGCTCAGAAATTAAATTCCAATATGCAAAGGTGGTCACCGGAACCTTTTCTGGACCAAAAATCCTATAATAATCTTTTAGAGCACCTCTTACTCTTTTTCACCTCTTGGTATCTATAGAGCCCTCTGGGGGAACCAAGGGCAAACCTTATGAATAAATTGAAAATACTGCAACAATTCTTTTATTCTAACCCTTAACCCTCTTGTCTTTAATGCCTTGCTGAGGCCTCCCACAAACAATTTATGTTCGCTCAATGCTTGACCCATGTCTGGGAAAGGGAATGGGGTTGCTGTTCACTCACCATGACTCGGGCGGCCCGTCGGGTGGTCGTCCATGCAGGCCTCGGTCCTTGATTCAATTTGCTTTTACTTCTAGCCGGCTTTCTCGAACGGTTCCCTCGTTGACTCCCCTGTGCCAGGAGCCCCCACTCTGGGCACCACTTGATCTGTCCCGCGGATCAATCCATGGGGTGTACCTGGAAGGAGAACGGGGATAAAATAGAAACAGCAGGGAGACAAAAAGAGATTGAAGGAAGTTGAGAGAATCTGATCAAGCCTTTTTTATTCCGGAAGTGATCAAATCTTTTATAGGCCAAGGGCGGGCTGGTGTGACAGGAAGAGGCTACGGGGATGAATACAACAGGGTCATCGTCACGTCCGGGTATGTGATGTAAGCAGGAGAGGATTATGGTTAATGTAGGCAGATGCATTATGTGCCCATAGGAGAGGGAGACGAGATGGGGAGGCAGCACTGGGGCTGTCGCACCGCTACTTACAAGTTAGGATTACAGGCATGCACCACCATGCCTGGCTGCAGCGTGCTTCATGGGCATTCTGTCTTCCAGTCATTACTGTAGCAGGAAAGAAGGGTCCCTGTCCTTCATGCTCTGCTTTCTGGGACTCTGCCTCTAATCGTCTCTGACAGCTGCCTGGGTCTCAGCAGCAGCCAGCTGACCAATGTGATAAGACCAGATGCCATGGGAAAGAAGATGCAGCCTGGAGCATGGTTTATGGGGAAAGGTTTTGTTCTGTTGGACACCAGCAAGACCATTTTTATCCAATGTCCCTAAAGACGGGGTGGACAAGAGACCAGGTGTCACTTTCCAGGGTGGAAAGTTGTTACTAATGCTTCAGTTAAAAGCCCTGGCAGGAGAGCAGGGGTGTATTTGACTACAGCCTCACCGCGGTCATTTACAGAGTCACTGTGGCTGGCACAGGGCCAGAGCAGCTGGATATATCACCAGTGCCCTCCCTGGCAGGGGTCGCTGTGACCAGTTCTCCCTGTTCTGGGCAGAGTCCATGGTGTGTCACTGCTCCTCCTGTGAGGATGGCTGTTCTGTTAGCTAGGCATTGAGCTGCACATCCAGGATGGACTCAGATAGGGAGATGTAGCCATGCCTGGCTCTGTGTTGCTCGGTGATGTCGGCCCCGAGCTCTGAACAAAGGTCCAGGTCTCCCGAGGTTGCCAGGGCTCCGGATCAGCAGCCCTGGCTGTCACAGTGGAGAGAGTTCTGGGTCCTCCTGTTCTACCTGATGAGATGCTGTGCTTCTCCCACAGCCTGGGGAGCATCTGGAAGTGTGGTGTGGCCCTGTGCATCGTGCTGGGTTTCTCCATCCTGTCTGCATCCATTGGGAGCCATGTGGTGAGGGACAGGGTGACTGGAGCCAAGAGGTTGCAGCACATAAGTGGTCTTGGCTACAGGACATACTGGATCACTCACTTCCTGTATGACATGCCCCCTGTGTGGGGGCAGGGCAGGGGCTGGGGGGTGTGGACTGCCCGAGGACATCCATGGAGAAGGGCTTGTGGTATCAGGGACAGCGTTCAGGCCAAGCCACCTTCAACAATGCCCAGCAGACTGTCAGGGTGACTTTAGTAGGGAAGGATCGGGGACCACTAGCTCTAAACCTGGGAAATCGGAGCTCTGCCTGGGATGCAAAGTTTGTCACTGGGGAGCCCCATAAGTCAGCACCATCCATGTGGTCCTTTGAAAGAGGAGCAAGGTGAGATGACAAAAAGAATTAGGCAGGATTTGACCTTTGCCCCCCTCACACCAGCCCCACTGGGAGGCAGCTCTGTTCCCTGTGTGATGTGGCTGCCAGCATTTCCTCTGGGACCCTCTGCACCACCTCCACAGGGTGAGAGAGGACAAGGGCAGAGCCTTCCTTGGGTTTCCCTAGAGCTTCCGACACTTACATTGCATCAAAAGTGCATCTACCTCAACGGACAGAGTGCTCTGTGCTCTTCCCTGGTAAACACTCTGTCAGTTTCTAAGCAGTGCTGAGCTGCTTTGGGTCCTGGTACATGCACCTCCCACCTTCAGCAGTAGGGTTTTCTGAGGATCCGGAACAGGCCTGGTCCACGAAGGCAGCAGGCCAGGCTTCCCACTGACTCTTCCTGGCCCAGTTCTGCACCAGCTGCCTGGCATCCTGTATGGAACCTGGCATTTAACCTGTTGCTCTCCTGTAATGTTTACATTTTTGTGCTGGCTTAGGATTTAGCTGCTTTACTTGCTTTCCATCATGTGGACTAAACTTTTTAAAAAGTAGACGTTTTGCACAGATCACACCTAAATGACTCCAATACTTCAGGAGTTTGGCTGCCCATTTTGAACTGAATCCAAACCTGTCATGTGACAGCTGCTAACAGGGGTGATTCCCAGTGTGCACCCTTCTTGGGTCTTTACTCAGGGCTGGGTGGACCCCAGTGCCACTTCAGTCACCATCCAAGAGGTCCATGAATCTTGGAAGAGACTGAAATGTGCTGGTCCCAGCTCTCACCCTACCATAGATGCTCAGAAGTGGGAGAGAAAAACCAAGGACTCTAGTGCCATGCTCAGCCTCTGGTCAGCTTGTTCCCAGTAGCCCCAGGCTACTTTGCTCCAGACACCTACATTTTATTGATATCTTAGTTACTTCTCTCTCATTGCTGGGACAAAATACCTGAGGTCCAAAATGAAGGAAGAAAAGGTTTATTTAGCTTGTGGTTTGTGGAGGTTTTAGTCCATGCTCAGCTGGCTCCAAGGCAGAATGGCATGGTACAAAGGCAACAATTCAAGGAAGCAGAAGACAGCAAAAACAACAAGAGCAAAAGGAGAAGAGCCAGAGAGCAAGCTTATTCCCTCCTTATATCATGTGCAGGCTCCCTGCCCCAGGGGAGGGAGGCACTCATACTTGTAACCCCAGTGTTGGACCATGGATCAGCCACAGACCCTAGAAACCTGCTCCCATGCTGCATGAGGCTTTGGGGACATCCAGACACAAACCATGACAAACAGTGTCTGGTGGTAGGTCCTAGGATACTGGCCTGTGGGGAGCAGCTGCAGGAGAGGGTGGGGGCAGGCAGGGAAGGAAGAGGCTGGTCCTGATTTCCTCCCCCTCACTGTCCCCTCCCTTCTCCTTCCTGCCCTTCCCTCTCCTCCTCTCCCCCTTGCCTCTTCTTTTTCTTTCTCATTCTAAGCTACATTTTAAACCTTTCCTCCCTTCTTTGTGGGGAAGGTGGTTAGACAGGGTCTCTCTATGTATTCTAGGCTGGCCTTGAGCTCATTATATAGCTCCAGCTGGCCTCAAATTCATAATAATCCCCCTGTCTCACCTTCCTGAGTGGTAGGATTAACAGCCATGCATGAGCACGCCCAACTCCCCAGTCCTTTTTTTGAGTTTTATTTTGAAACAGGGTCTGAAAAGTCATGAAGTTGAACTCAAATTTGCAGTCATCCTGCCTCAGCCTCCTAGAGTGTTGGGATCATAGCCAAGGGCCCCTGTTCCTGGCCCTCATTTCTTCTTCTTCTTCTAAAGGCACAATCATAGGGTGCCAGGCTCCACTTTAGTTGACCTCATTTGAATGTAATCACTCTTGGAAAGCTTTGTTTACAAACGCGGCATCACCCTGAAGTTTGGGTGCTCGGCACATGAGTTCTGGGGACCCAGTTCACCCAGGACAGAGTCCAGCGGTGAGCTGCTCGTGGATCAGTGAGAACTTGACTGAGGTCCTCAGCACAGGGTGTTAGGGTGAGTCTCTAAGGCCACTATGCCGCCCTCCTCTGAGGCCACTGTCCACCTCTTGGTTTTGTTTCCCCAGCTCTTTTACTTGGTTTTGTCTGCCTGTGTGTCACCATCATCCTCGCCTTCCAGCTCACAGCCTTCACCTTCCAAGAGAACCTGGCAGCCACAGCACTCCTGCTGGTGCCGTTTGGGTGGGTATACCTCAAGGGGCCCCTGCAGGAGGGTGGCCTGGGCTGTGAAAGAGAAAACCCTCGGATGCTGTGAACCTGCTGTCGTGCTGTGATGTTCTCCCTTGTCAGGCTGTTATGTGTCTCCTGCCATGGAGGCGGGAGGAACAAGCTCCAGTGAGTTGATGTGTGGCCCTGGGGTGGGAAGGGAGACAGCGGGTATCAGGCATCCCTGCCAGCCCGGCCCTGGCCCTGTCACAGTGAGGCCTGGTGGCTGCTGGGCAGGCCTGCACAGGGAAGTGGGTCCTGGACACTGTGCCATAGCTGTGGGCTCTCACACGCAGTGCGCTTAGCTCTGGCACCGTGTCTGGACAGAGCCTCATGTGTGTGGCACGCCGTCGGCCTCTTTTCCCTCTCCCGGAGGATTAGGGGTTTGGTCTGACTTTGTCGCATTCTTCTCCTCGGGGAGAAATGGCCAATGCAGGGAGCCTTGGGGTCAGTTTCCCATCTGTGTCTTACCACTGTCCTGGCTAGTGGTCCCAGAGCTGTGCCCACTGGGCAGAGTGACTAGGTGTGTCTGACATGGGAGGCTTCAGGTTTCCAGAGGCCGCTTTGTCAGAGCACAGAGCATAGTATACTGACTTAGCAGGACTCAAGCCTCATTTTGAAATAAAACCTCCAGTCATCAACCAAAAATGACAGCTAATATGACATTTATATATTTTGTGTTCTATCAGTGACCTGGGATTATTCAAAGCATCCAACTAGGTTACAGGGGTTTAATTAATGTACACATTATATTGAAATGGATGGATGGAGGGATGGATGGGTGGAAAGATAGGTAGGAACCTAGGAAAAGTACCTTTGTGATTATTTGTGATATTGCCGATTATGAGGATATTGCTGTGTGGCCTTAAAAATATTATTTCCTCTCAGCCTTGGGTTCTTCTCTATAATCTATTTCTGTTGCTATAAAGATTCAATTAGGTCATTGATACAGACTTAGTGGAAGTGACTTAACAGTCTGGTTAATTTAATTTTATAATTGTTATTTTTAGAATTCTGTTACTCTTTAGCACATAGCGTGTTCTCAGATATAAAATACATGCTGGGGGCTGGGGATTTAGCTCAACGGCATTAGGTGCCTGCCTTGCAAGCAGGCAGTCATGAGTTCGATCCCTGGTACCGATAAAAACAAAAAAGACAAAAAAAAAATACATACTTACACATACTTATATACTGTGTTCAAAGATAATGAGCCCTTCTGTAAAGGTCCCTGCTGGTGTGTGCCCAGGTCTCCAGGCCAATGTCAGTTTATTGATCCAGTGGAGCAGAGCGCTCTGTCTCCTTACAGAGTGTGAAAAATGGATGACTCTCTAAAGCTGTTCTTAAAATCTAGGGAGGAGACTTCACAAACTATGATAAGACCTTGACTTCAAATGGCTGGAAACCTAAATAACAAGATTTTAGACATCTTTATAGACCTTGATTTGATTGCAAAGCCCTTTAAGAATTTGCATCACCCTGGGAATCCTCGCTGTTTATGTAACTGCATTTTCCAAAGGATTTCAGGAGGATCACGGATGCATTGCTACACTATCATAGGCTGACAGGTCACACACTTCCTCCCGAGGATTCTGGGTGACAGGGACAGAGAAAGTGTCCAAGGTAACTGAGACCGAGTCTGAAGTCTGGGCTGGTCTGAGGAAAGAGTCCAGAAGCAGTCAGAGGGTGAGCAGGGACCATGGATTCACTGGATTTAAAAGTTTGTTACTTTGTCATTGGAACACAGCCACAGGCTTAGCTGGAAGCAGTGATCATTGCCCTGAGTAGAGGGAACCTGTCTGTGGGTGGCCATGCAGAGCTGGCTTCCTCTCACTGTGTCCACAGGACCTGCAAGTCCCAGGAGCCAGAAGAAGTTCCAGGCAGGGAAGTGAGCTGAGACCCATGGAAGCACTGAGCAGGGCCCTTTAATGAGCTGGAACCAGAGGGAGCATGGAAGGGATACATGGGTGGATGCTCAGAGAAGATAACAGAAATGCCAAGTAGTGTGTCCTTGTCAAGGAAAACTTGGTATTTAAAGGGTAAAAGGAAGGGCAGACAGGGTTTGCATCAAAGAAGGAAACTAACACCTAGCAGTGTCTGGAAGGAAAGTCAGTCCTGCTCATCTAAAATATCAGAGCCTTGGGATGAGCCTGATGTGTGTTTAGTGCTGACCTGTTGTGAAGATGAAGTCACCATGTTTTATTTGGTGTCTTGGTAAATTCACACTGCAGGAAAAGGGGTGCAGGGATGCACAATACTTGTGAACAGTGTGCCCATCCCCACCAGATTCTGAAACCATTAAAATTCTACACCATATTTTAGTAACAGTGTGGTGAGCATTAAGAGCCACAGTTGGCTTCATCAGACAATAAATTATGCTCTGTAAGTCAACTTAATATTTCTTTCCTCAAAACCAGAAAAAGACACAGGGACTGGCTTCACTAATATGTTCATTTCTACCAAGTATTTGAAAGGTAACTCATGTAAATATAGTTTAAAAAAGGTTGTGAGATGGAATCTGGGCTTCTCGGAAGCCACAATGAGACTGTCACTGATGCAGTGACAGCAGCCTCCAGGGCCTCACTGAGGCCTGTGCCCTCATCTGGGCTGTTTTTCCCTAGCTGATGCTTTGATCTGCTTGTCAGGTACTTTACAGGGTGTGACCCAGGGTGGGAACATTAGGTAAAGTGTGTTTGATTCAGAGCAGACCCCAGGGAGCAGAGCCTCAGGGAGGTGCTGGACAGAGTGGGGCCTTTAGCCTGCTGTCAGGATTGGAACATCTGCACTGGCCCATGCTGGGCCCTTGGATGCCCATTAAAGGAGGGCACAGTGCCCCGTGCTTTGTCCTCCCTGACCACATCAGACACTTTGTGAGGAGTTGCACCCCAAGAGTGCCCAGGCTTGGCAACATGAGGTGGAGCAGAGAGAGCCACTGGGTCAGTATTTTACAAAGAACAAAGGCAGACCCCATCTTCTCCGTGGAGGACTGAAGCAGCTACATTAGTGGACTGTTAAAAATTCTGTGTGGTAGAAGAGAAAAGCAGTTTGTTACATGTCATTCCAGGACACAGAGTTTGAGTCCATAGTATTAAGTTAGAGAAATTTTTTTTTCCATCCTCAGTGAGTTGTATAGTGATTAAAGCCATCCCCACCATTGGCTCACAGGGCAGAGCCTGGTGCCCAGGGCTATAGTCTCAGCAGTCAGGTAGGTTGAAGCAGGAGGATTCCAAGTTCAAGTTCAACCTGGGGAATTTAGCCATGTAGGGGAACCATATCTCAAGATAAAAACTAACAAGAGTGGGAATCAGCTCAGGAGAAAGCCTGAAGTTCAGTCCTCAGCTCTGCAACCAATGAATCAGTTAATTTTAAAAATCAGTCAGTGGCCTCCACCACTGCTTGTGTTTCATTTACACAGCTGCTGAGGTTTCATTTGCTTCTGAAGGAAGTCACGTGACACAGGGCAGCCCCTGCTTTTTGCCTGCAAAGAGAAGGCAGAGAGTGGAGTGCTGTATATGTGAGTCTGGTGGGCTGGGGGTCTTCTCTGTGCTTCATTTCCCACATAGGCATTGGCAGCTTAAAGCATCCAGCAGCTGTGACCTGGCACTCAAGTCAATACATTGATCTAATGATTTTGCACAGATCCTGCTAGGTAATAGTGACTTTCCATGTCCTGTCTCCATTGTGGGCTCTGAAATGGTTTTCCTCATACCCCAGCAACCAAAGCATGATGCTGAGAGAAGCTTCTGAGACCCTGAGATTTTATGTGCAGTGTCCCATGTTTTCCACAGCAGGAGAGCTGTGTCTGTTCACCCCGCCCTGCGTTCTACTACTTGGATTTCATATGCAAAGGGAAGCACCTGAAAATAATAACTATCCAGGGCCCCTGGTGCCTCTGACAATGTTTGAAGCCTCCTAATTTCCGGAGCTAGTTAACATATTAAAACAACCTCAGGCATTTAGGAGGCACTGAAGTGTTATGGGTTAAACAATTCATCACTGGAAGAAAACAGTGACACCTCTACCTGGAGAGAGCAGAGTTCTGTAAGTATGTCTGCTAGATGGCTCTGATGGGAGTGGCTGTGATTTTTATGTTTTGTATTTTATTTAAAAAGCTGTGAATGCATGTCTGTGATACATAATAAACACATCATGGTAAACTGAGGCATATACAGCACCAGATGTTGACCCTTTATTTCCCCTTCCCTTTTTTCTACTTCCTACCTCTCCACATCCCTGATGGTCTTACTGTCTCCATAAAATTTATCTCCCCATTTCCTGCCACCTATTTTTTATTAAAATAGATGACTTCTAGCTAGGCATGGTGATTCATACCTGTAGTCCAGAAGGCTGAGGTAGGCTGAGCCAGGAGGATTACAGGTTTGAGCCCAGCCAGCGCTCAAATTAGAGAGCAACTTAGACTTTTACCTCAAAACAGGAACTAAAAAGGGCTAGCAATGAGGTCAGAATAAAGGCTCTGCATTCAGTTCTGGAAGCACACACGAACAGGTGACTTCTCCACTGGTGTTGGGAGAAAATATTTCAAGTTCCAGCTTCTCTTAGTGGTGTGCAAGGAAGTGACCCCGTTTTACTGTGGCAGGAGGAATTGGCCAGAATAAAGCCTGGCTTTGGGGCTGTGAAGACAGGAAAGCAGGAGGCTTTCTCCAGGAGAGCTTGAGCAGTGTGTTAGGTCCCAGTGTCCTCTGAGTACCCAGCCATGTCCTTCATGCTTGGCATGGGGGCTACAGGGAGGGCTCCTATTCTCAGCTGACCTTGGAGAGAGCCATGCAAGCTCCTCTGAGGTGCGGGTTTGCTTTATCAGACAGACATGTGGATTGCAGTGCAGGTTCTGGGGTATCCAGGCACATGAGAGCAATTAGGGACACAGTGGCAGTGAACGTCCCGGACCTGATGTGCAGCAAACTGAAAACACAGCTCTGCATTTTGGTTTTTATGCTTATTTTAAGGTAGCACTCTGCAGCTTTCCGTGCTGCTTTCCTTCTGCTCTCACTGTAACATGCAGGGATGGTGTTTGGGCTGTTGAGAGGCCCCGTGGAGTGGTGCCCCTTAAGAGGAGAGGAGGTGTGAGGGGCAGGGGCTTGGCCCAGGAGGCAGCCAGGGGGCCCCACTTCTGATGGCATCACAGCATTCATAGAAGCCCCAAGCAGCACTGCATCCAGGGAAGCCCCAGGAGGCAAAAGCAGGAATCACCAGGCCAATAGAACTGCGTCCAAGCTTAGTCACCATGACTGTTATAGCAAAGACTGAGCTCTTCTCCTTCTTCATGCTTTTCAGATATGCAGTGCTCCCGTGGATGTATCTGCTATCTGGAATCTTCCCCAGTGCTGATGTGGCCTTCATCTCTTATGTCTCCCTGAACTTCATCTTTGGCCTCTGCACCCTGCTGATGACCACCATGCCCCGGCTGCTGGCCATCATCTCCAAAGCCCAGGTTGGTTGCCCATAGCATCCCCCACCCTGCTCCAACAGCATAAGGGATGGGGACTGGGGGCCTTGACAGTGTTGCTGCTTCTGCAACCAGAAATCAGTGGCAATGTGCCTGTGTCCACCATCTTTAAACTCCAGAAAGAGAAAGCGATTCTCCCTGACAAACATGGAGTGTCACAGGGGCCATGCTTCTGTGCAGTGACGGTTGACAGAAGGGCACATGGTTGCTGCTGAACCAGTGCCATGTCACCATGGCATTCACAGTCACATCCCTGGCATCTTCCCCAGGGACAGCTTGACAGCTGGGGAGAGAATGTGGCGCAAAGTGTCCCTTCAAAGTGCTGCATCTTGTTGGGCACTGGAAGGCAGGATGGGCTCACAGTCAGTGACCTCACACACAGTCTGGAAGACAACCTGGCAATCCTGTGCTCTTCCTGGGTCCCCAGAGTTAATTTTATTTTACTGCTTCCCACGTGTTGGAGCAAAGGGCTGTCCTGAGCATAGGGTGCATGGCCGGGGAGGATTTTCCCTATGAGCCAATGCTGCTGTCCACTTGACTGTCCCCACCAGCAGGTCACTTGGGAGCTTCCCCAGCAGGTGTGGAGGTCAGGCTGAGTGCTCCCTGAAGACCCCAGGTGCCCTCAAGCTGTCCCCTACTGGGGCTGCCTCCCTCTTGATCCCTGCTTGCAGTCAGCCCTGGACACCCACTAGGCAGCTGTGTGAGGAGACTTCAGAGTCTGCACGCCCTTTGGCCCTTCCTGTTCCTGCTGTCTCTCCTCCCCTCTGACCTGACTGCTCTCAGGACTCCCTTCAGTTCACTTGGTTTAGATTCCCCACAGTACCCAGGTGTTTGCCTGATGGAGGATCAAGAACATCCCTGGGGGAAGGGCAGGGTCCCCAGGTGTTTGGCTCTGAGCACACCTGGGAGATGGCCAGTGTTCAGCTGAGAATTTGGCAGAAAACGCCTCCCCCAACCCCAGCAGTGTACTTAGGTGCCCAGGTAACAGTTCCTGTTGCAGTTCCTGTTGCTTCTCTCTCCTAGAAACAGCTGGTCACTGTGATGCAAATTGTAAGAACCAAGAAAGATCAGCTCAGTGGATCAGCATTTGGGCCGGTTTTCTCCCAAGGCTATATTTCTTGCTGGACAGACTTTGTGCTGTAACCTAAAGGTGAGGAGCACACATCTGTCACTGACCTTGTTTCCTCACTGGTACTCAGCCTCACCTTTGGGAAACATGTATATTTACTGAAACACTGAAACATGGTTAAGGGCAGAAAAGCTGGTGACACCCAGTAATTTGCCAAAAACATTTAGTGGACAGCTGCTGACCCTTGTAATCATTTCAGTCTCATAAAATAAGGGGTATGCATGTCAGGAGGTAGGGACAGTCTTAGAGGTTATGGTAGGTTTTGAATTTTTAGATGCATCCAACTTAAAAGTTGAGTTCAACTCTACTTTTAAATGTATCTTACACTTTTATTTCTTCTAGAATTCTCTTTGTTTTGCCCTGCTGCTCATAGTTGCTTCTGTGACACCATGCAGTTCCATGCATAGGGGCAAGGACTGTATGTATTTACTGTCTGTTGTGTGCTAAGGAAGACCCAATCAGGCGTGCATGCTGTGGAGTCCCAGCACCCTGTGTGACCTGCTTACGTCTCAGTCACATCACCTAGGAGCACTGATGCTGCCCATGCATCTTAGTTTGCTCAGGATGGTGAAACAAAACAAACCACAGAAGCCTCCTAAAGTGGGGCATAAGAAAAGATACTTATTTCTCACAGCTTGGGAGATGGAGGAGTCCAAGACCATGGCGAAGTTAGACATGAGTCTGCCTGAGTCTCTTAGGAGCTTGCAGATGGCTGCTCTGTCACTGTGTCCTCACACAGTGAGGACGTAGAGAGAGCTGAGATCTCTTTTCTTCTCTTAAGTGCAGGAATTTCATGATGGGCTCTACCCCCGTGACTTCATCTACCCTAACAACCTCTCAGACAGCCCACCTCCCAGTACCATCACCTCAGGGCAGAGGCTTTCAAATAAGAATCCAAGAAGAACACGAATGTTCCATCCCTGTCTGTCATTTGGGCTCTGGGTTCCCAAGACTTGTGTCTTTTTCACATCACAGTTGATTCACTCTGTCCCAACAGCCACCAGAGTTTTAGCCTGCTGCTCCATCAGCCCTGAGGTCCAGAGTCTCACCTGTAAAAGCCATCTCAGTCAGCCAGGAGTGACACTCAGAGGCACATCCTAAGGCTGATTTGTCCCCAGCTGTGGGCCTGTGTGCTTCCAAAAGACAAAGATGGGGCATCCATAGCACAGACACTGCCATTCCAGAAGGACAGAAAGGAAGAAAGGGGCAACAGGTCCCAGGAAGTAAAACCTAGCAAGACCAATGCCATTAGCTTCTCAGTCTCAGGAGTAACACTCTCCAGCTGGACAGCTGTCTGAGGGGGTCACTGGATAACTGGGCAGGGAAGACCTGGGATGCTGCTCCAGCAAGGAGGAATAATGGCCATCTGTATTTGTTGTTGACAGGAGAATAGATGTAATTTAATTTTTTCTTTCTTCTCTGGCAGAATTTGAAGAACGTCTATGACACCCTGAAGTGGGTCTTCATGATTTTCCCCCAGTTCTGCCTTGGCCAAGGGCTGATAGAACTCTGCTATAATCAAATCAAGTATGACCTGACCCACAGCTTTGGCATTGATTCCTACGTGAGCCCCTTTGAGATGCAGTTCCTTGACTGGATCTTTGTGGGATTGGCCACACAGGGCACGATCCTCTTCCTGCTGAGGGTGCTGCTGCATGGGAACCTTCTGCATTGGTTGGGGTATGTCCTGAAGGGCTCATCTTTGAACAAGTCAGGGCAGGACAAGTCCACCCTGGAGGTTGGTGTTGTCATGGTTCTGATAAGGTTTTCTGTTTCTTCTTTGTTTGTTAGGTTTTTTTCCCCTGTGCTTTATGACTTCACAGTGATCATGAGGCCCTCCCAATTTGTCATTTAAATCCAGAGCCCACCAGGTCACTAGTCCCTCCTTACCAGATTCTCACAAGCCCCTCCCTCCAGCTGGCCGCTTGTGTTCCTGAAGCCCTCTCTGCTCCTCCCTCCTCCACAAAGAGGATGCTGGCCTCTGGTCACCTCCCTGCCCTCACTCCCAGCACTGTTCCCATCCCCACCCTGCCTTCTGGGCAGCTCTGATCCTTCTCAGAGTGTCCAGGCTCTTTTTTTTGGAGTGGGACACACTTGTCATGTTTATGTGGCAATCATGCCCACAGTCTATTCCTGTAGGAAAACTAGAAATTTGAAAACCAAGGAATTACAAAAACCCTAAGCAAGAAATGTTGTGATAATAAAAGACACATTGCTCTGAGACCCCCTCCCCCATTGGAGACCACGCATCCCATGGCTCCTGTCACTTTCGGAAGCAGCTCTGGAGTCCTCTTTCCTGAATATACTTGTGACAGGTGATAAACAGTTGTGACCACTGCTGCCAAGTGCCATCCAGCAGAAAGGCAGCTCCTAGAATCATGACACTGTGTCCTCATGCCCCTCCTTCACTGGATCTGGCACCGTGTGACTCCTGGCTCCTCCCCAAAGTCAAAATAACAGTGGAAGGGAAATGGCTTGAATTGACTGAGGACATCAAGGCAGCCAGGGGAGTGCAGCTAGAGACCCTGGGGAAGGAGCCTCCAGAGCTGCTGTGACTAGCGGCATGGAGAATGGGATGAGAGAGTTTTAAAACATGGGGGCATGATTAAACCAGAGGGCATTCCTAGGAAATGTTTTTACTGTAACACACTAAAAATTGTAAAGATCATACCTTGTAGTTAATTTGGGAAAGAAAGGGAAAGCTGTGCCCTCTGTGTGGAGGTAGAGAGGCCTTGCCTTCTGCGACCCCAGCTGGGACTCGATGGCCAGCACCTGCTGCTAGCCTGAGTGCAGAGCTCACATCCCTGCCACCCATCCCATGCCTGCTCTGGCTTCATCCTGCAGGCTGTCACTGGTGCTCCATTATCTGCTGAGAACCTGGGTCTCCCATCAGCACCAGCCTTGCTGAATGAATGCCAGTGGGAGGGTGGGCTGGAGGAATCTCACTGGACCTGGACTTTGCTCACTGCATCCCACATGCTGACTAAGTCAGAGCAGCTGTGTGGTCCAGGTGTTCTGCATGTGGAGTACCTGGAAAACTCTGTAGTGTCCAGTGCTGGGTGACTCTGTCCTCCTTCCTGCAGGCTGGAGGTGCACATGGATGAGCACGGTGAGATGAATGAGGTGTTGGACTGTGGGAGAATCCTCAGCCTCAGGCGCTGGTCTTCCACCTACCAGAAGGGCTTGAGGAGATGCACCTGGGTGCACAACTGCTGGTGTCTGAGACAGGGAGCTCTGGACAAGCCCAGGAGGAGAGGATCATGGGAGCTTTGATGCGAGCAGCTGTGGACAGATCTTGGCAGCAGGTGTAGCCATGGCGTGATCCACTAGACAGGGAAAAAACCTTGGAGAAAAGCCCAGCACAGGCTAAGGGTCAGGGCCTTCACCCAGGAAAGGGCAATCTAATATTCAGGCAGCAAAGTGTGGAATTTGATGGGTTTTTGCAAATCAAACCCTCTCGTGCAAACCACTCTCAGATCCATAGATAAAATACTTTCTGCACCTTCCACACCTCTGCCACTCTCTGCCAGTCCAGCGATCTCCCTGAGGAGTGGCTGTTCCTGTTTCACCTCCATTGTGCGCTTTCAAACGCTATGTAAGTGGTGCCATACACTGCCCACTGCCAGTCCTCACATTTTTCTCATCATCCCTGTGTGTGTGTAGGGTCAGCAATGCTTCTGTCACACCAGGGATGGTGCATGTTGCGTGCCTGTCTCTCAGCTCTCTGGGATGCTGAGGTTGAAGGTACCAGTGCATGCCCAGTCTGGGTAGTGCAGGAATTTAGTGAGACACTCAGTGCAAGAGGAGATGGAAACCAAAAACGGGTCAGGGCTGCAGATCAGGGTGTAGTTCTGCATCGTGGCTTTAGGCTCCTTCCACAATAGCAACAGAAAATCAGGCAGAGAAAAATAAGAGACCATGGGACTACTATGCCTGTGGGCTGGCAGTGGTTATTTTACCCATTGCTCTCCATGGTACTGTGACCACAGTACTACTGTGTAAAGGCCCAGACACTCCCATTAGACTAATACTTACCCCGTGGTCTGCACCTGTTTGGTCCTTAAAGTATTCCTGTACTACAAGTTACAGGGGAGGTGGAAATGTACCTGACAGTTAAAATACTGCAGATGGAAAACCGCCATGTAATGTGCAGTCCAGATTTAGAGGAAACCAGTTAGACCTCAAAATAAAATTTGCATTCTTCTGGCAAACACATACTGAATATTTGTAAGGCATTGAATAAAGTGGTGGTTATGCAGTCTTCTGTGAAATCCAACTTGTACTATAAACTTCCACCATGTTATGGTCTGAGAACTGGTGGTCAACTCAATGCCAGCTGGATTACATCAGCATGCATTGAGAGAAGATGCTCCACCTGAGGAGGGTTGTCAGGATAAATAGATGGAGAAGAAGAGAGGTGTGGAGAGGGATTGAGGCATGAAGGAGGCATTGTGGGTTCTCTTACGAGTTGCTGTGTGAGCTGTTGGTTCTCCTGGAGAAGCTTTGGTCTTCACATCGAGCATTGCTTCCTGGCTCCGGAGGGGAAGACATGTGCTGCCTGGTCTCCAGGATGAACTCGTCACGCTGCTTCCTGGCATGTACCCAACTGTGCTTGTCATCAGAGGAGCTCGGGGCCTCCGTGTCACTGAGGACAGCTGAGGGGTTGGGTGAGTTAGGGACAGAAGAGGAGCTGCAGTCTGGTGGCTGCTGCTGAATCTCCCAGGGGGTCAGGGGCTACATAAGCAGCTCCTCCTACAGGGGCATCTTTACAAAGGGGAATTTAGAAGGGAAACCTCTGTTCTAGCTTCAGGCAGTCAGAGAGGTCCCCCCACCTCTGCTGATTTCCAGTTGTCTTAAGGTCAAAATGGCACATGGACCAGAGATGTGCACTTGGGCGTGGCTGGTGCTGAGCCCCCCCTTCCTGGTAGCTGACGGTGCTCCTGGGGAGTGAGACAATGCAGGAGAGGCCATGCAGAGGACTTTTGTGGAGGAGCCCGTGGAGCAGGGCTGGCCTTGGCCTGCGAGCTGGCAGCCCTCTGTGTCTTTTCAAAGCCACCATGTGAGTGTGGCTTCTGCAGGCCGGGCGGGCATCCTCATCGGCTACTGTCCACAGTGGGATGCCCTGGACGAGCTGCTGACCACGTGGGACCATCTCCACTACTACTGCAGCCTCCGAGGAATCCGGGAGGAGCACATCCCTCAGGTAGGTAGTGCTCCAGGCTTCCAGAAAAAAGAAGGAATGGAGGAATGAATGAGTGAAGCCACGGGAATGCAAGGCGACTCCAAGCCACTCCTTCCTCTGTGGGGAGGAGCCGTGGCATCACACAGACTCGCCAGAAGTATGTTCCTGTGGCTTACACAGAGGAAACCTTAGTGTACCCCTGTTGGGCGCAGGCGCTTAACATACTCCGCCCGAGACCAAGGGCCACGTCAGCTTCCGCAATGCATTATGTCCCTCTCCAAACAAGCCTCTCCCCAACAACGTGTGAAGGGCACTTCGTGGCAGCCTGTGATTGGTCATGGCCTAATATATAAGTCAGAGCCTGCGGCAATAAAGCGGCAGTTACCTGTTACCAACAAGAGCGTCCTCTGTCTCATTGGGGGGCTGCGCCGGTCAACTGGTGGCCCGTATGGGGAACCCCTCTCTCTCCGATGGAACAGAGACGTTAACAGGTAAAACTGCCAAACGCTGGTAGCGGGGGCTACACAGCGGGTAGCAGGGGCTATAGCGCCAGATAGCGGGGGCTATCGGGCAACCTTGGGCGGACGTGTTGCAAGGGATTGAGGAACTCATAAAGAGAGTTCCGGGAGCCGTAAAAAGGCAAGGGATTGAGGAACTCGTAAAAATACTTCCGGGGCCATAAACAGGCCAGGTTTTGGGGGCGCTGTAAAGGGGTACAGGGATTAAGCTGTCCCCTAAAGAGAAATCTATCTTAAGATGGGTAACACTGCCAGTCAGCCGCTGTTCATTGCTTTGAGTGACTTACTGAGAGAAAAGGGACTGGAAATAAAATGAAAGCAAATCCAAAATTTTCTAGACCAGGTTGATAAGGTAGCACCTTGGTTTGGTCCCACGGGCTCTGTCACAATCCCTAGTTGGGACAAACTAGGGAGAGACCTAGATTTTGCAGCAGAAAATGGCCTCCTAGAACCAGGAGTTAGACCTCTTTGGGCGATAGTGAGGAGTTGCCTCGCAGATGCTACATGTCGTGACCATATAAGGGCAGGCACCATGGCGCTCAGCCACCATCAGACAGAATCTTCCCGTGAGCAATCTCGTGAGCCCAGTGTTGCAGGTGAGGCTGCTGTCCCTGACCCAGAGAGTGAGGACTCGTCAGATAGTGAAGAGGAGGAAGAGGCACACAAAATGGCAGACGCAGCGGCCGCCGGAAAGGAGGAAGTTAGACACCCAAAGTCAGGCGAACTCAATTAACAGAATTGAAGATCATTATAGAGGTCTTTAAGCAATACCCACAACCCTTTAACCTACTCTCAGACTCACATTATGTCGTCAATGCCCTGCAAGTGTTAGAGATCTCGGGCCCTATCAGGGAATCCTCCAGAGCCCACTCTCTTTTCATGGAGCTCCACACGCAATTAGGCCAGACTACAGAGAATATCAGCCCTTTTCAATTAGGCCAGACTACAGAGAATATCAGCCCTTTTCAATTAGGCCAGACTACAGAGAATATCAGCCCTTTTCAGTTAGGCCAGACTACAGAGACCCCAGTCCGTGTTTTTCATAGCAATGTTTCAGGGGTGAGGAGCAACGATTCCTTCACACCCTCCACCTACAAGTCTCAAAAGGTCTACAATATCACAAAACCCCAGTCTGCCTGCAAGCTCCCTACCTTTTTCTGTTGTTTGAAGCCACCACAAATATGATTTTTCTAAATTGCTCCACCGCAACCTGTTATGGGTCACAATGTTGGGATAACAGTACACTTTCAGCTGTCATTATGCAGGTACCCCAGTTCGTACCGATTCCAGTTATGGCGGACCCAGACGAGTTTCCTGTGATCCAGCTCGTGTGCAATAAAAGAGATTTTGGAAACATGGCCGCGATAGTGACAGCTATCGTGGCGGCCTCCGCAGCAGCCGCAGCCGCTGCTGTAGCCCTCACATCACAAGTCTCAATGGCTGGACAAATTAACAACATTGTTGCTCTGTCAGATTCGCAGACAAAGGAATAGGGACAAAGTAAATATCAAACAAGCATTGCTGGCCATGGAATCCGGTTAAAGCCCGGCAGCATGGCTCGCCATGCTGTGACGCAGGTGTGGAGCAAAGCATCGCAGGGGGTGTCGTCCTTGGCCAGGAGACACCCCAGTCTCCAAGTCGATGAGCATGCGGGTTGGGCTCATAAAACAATACTCCCGCCCCCTCCAAAAGAGCACCAATGAGTAGTGAGGCACTGTCATGACTGCAGCGTGACACCTCACGAGGGGCACCGACCCCTGGAGACCCTGCGTCAGTTATAAAGAAAGGGGGAGATGTTGGGCACAGGCGCTTAACATACTCTGCCTGAGACCAAGGGCCACGTCAGCTTCTGCAATGCGTTATGTCCCTCTCCAAACAAGCTTCTCCCCAACAATGCGTGAAGGGCACTTCGTGGCAGCCTGTGATTGGTCACGGCTGAATATATAAGTCAGAGCCCGTGGCAATAAAGTGGCAGTTACCTGTTACCAACAAGAGCGTCCTCTGTCTCGTTGGGGGGCTGCGCCGGTCATACCCCATCTACCGCATACAGTATTTTACAGTATAAAATGTATCCTGGTGAGGAAATCACATGGGAGGGGCTAAATCAAAGCAACAGTAACTTTATATTCCTCCTTCCTTCCTTCCTTCTTTCTTCTTTCTTCCTTTATCCTTCTCATAATGTAGGCTTCTCCAGGACCTGTCTAGGAGAGAACGGGCCCCAGGCACATGTGTAATTGGGGATTCCAGGGATGGATTTCTTCCCAGCTGGCAGATTCCTCCCAGGGGCTCCTATCTGAGTTGCTGGGGTGGCCTGGAAAAAGAAAGGGGTGGCATGAACTGCAGGGTCCCCCAGATCCCCTCCATCGCTGTCTGAGAGAACAAGGAGAGGCAGGAGACCAGAGAGAGCCCTAACTGCAGACAGCACAGAGGACGGTGACCCTGTGAGACCACCATGAAACCTAAGAACCCCATTTTCTGCTGGCACCACAGGCATTGTCATGCTCTCCTAGCTCGGTCCATCACTGGTGTGGCAGGGACAAAGCTGGAGCGAACAAATCCATGCTGTTAGCCCTGCATACCCCACTGTGTCAAATGCACAGTGCTGTGCACAAAGGGTGCCTGGGAATAAGCAGCTATGTTACTGGTGTACGGATTTCCATTGTGCTAACTGATATTTTAGAGGGCAGCTTCTTCTTATCAAACACTGTTCACAGTGAGACAGCATTCCAGGTGTCACCAGGGCAGCATCACATTCAAACATCTTGTGTTTGCTACGTCCCTTGAAGGTGGTATCTGGAGCACAACTGAAGGGTCTTCACCATCTTGGGCTGTGTGACAAAACTGGCTACTGATACCCGCTCTTAGATGGCATCCATTCCTAAAGCGTATATGGCGGGAGCATTTTACAGCCATCATAGGAAATAGATAGGAGCGCTATTCTTCACTTTGCAACTGGGGAAACTGAGGCATGAGATGGCTCAATGAATAATTCACATGGCTCTTGCACAGCAGGGTTTGAGTCTCACACCGGAATAGTCAGGTGAAGAGCACACACACGTTCTCAGCTGAGAAGCCACCCCAATACTCAGTGTGCTTGGACCCCCGGGTTTAGATGAAATCCCCCATCAGCCTCTGGGCAAACCAAGGGAGAGGACATTGTGTGGGGTTATTGCATGGCTCCTCTAGCCCTGAGCATGTGTTCACCATTTCCTGTCACAGGCTCCAGCCGGGTCCTGGAGTCCAATGCTCCCCACTCCTCTGAGCCTGCATGGATGTGTGAGGTATTTCCCGAGACCCCTCTGCACCTCACATTGTTTTTTTCCTCCATGCTGCCATCTTTCTTTCCATGGTAATGTTGGCAGCCACTGGCGTCTCCAAAGATCTGAGATGACTCTCCCATGCTGGATGGAAAGTCATTCCCACTTCAGGGCCCAGTGCCCTCATTCTGGCCCCATCCTAAAGCCCACTCAAGTCCATAACCCCTCTGGGCCCTGCTTGCTTGTCTGTCTGTACAGTGTGTCTCTTCCTGCTGTACACTCAGATGAGAAGACGCCTAGCCATTCAGCTTGCATTTGACCTCCATGGGTCGATGTCATGATTCTTTCTCCTCCAGCACTCACTTTGCCCCATTTTGTACACTCTTCATGTTTGAACTTGGATCTGATTAACCCTTTTTTATGTCATGTTTGTAACCAAAATATTAAGAGACAGAGGCTGTGAGGTCTGGCATGCTGGAGAAAGCTTATAAGAGAGCTGATGGCAGCAATTTCAGGGCTACCGTCATATCCAGACAAGCAACAACCCTTCTAGAAAGAGGGGAGCTGGTGAATGCTGGGTTTACTTTGCCTCCCTGGGATAGAAGAAGGAGAGCCCCTCTACATGTTACTTTTACCGATATTTGCAAAACATACCCACTGTGTGCTGCTTCCCAGTACCTTCTCTGTAGCCATGGCTTTCATGGTGAAGTCTCTTTTTGTAGGTTTGCAAGAAGGAGCTGAAAGTTATAAGACAGAATAGGAGCAGGCAATGGTCAGCAGAGGAAAAGGCAGAAGATGGTGTGCCCCCTGAAACCCTCGGCTCCTTTTTCCTGCTGAACTATTTGTTCAGTGAGTGAGTGAATCTAGATGCTGTTGAAATTTGGGGTCTGTGTTAGCTTTCTCATTTCCAGAACAAAATGGCAGAGATAACAGACTTGCAGAGAGGAGAGTTTCCCTTGGGATCACAGCTTTGGCAGGTTCAGCCTGTGACTCTGTTGCCCTGCCCTGAGTCCATATGGCACCATAAACCATGTGTGTGAAGTGCACAGTGGCAGAAGTCCATTTGCTTCATGGCTGGGTGCTAAAGATGGAGCAAGAGGCAGGGTGAGGTCGTAGCTTCTCCTTCAAGGTTGCAGCTCTGTGACCTGAGTCCTCCCAGAGATTCCACTCCCCAGTTGGGCCTGGGTTGAGGACCAGCCCTGCACCACATGGGCCTTCTGGGACATTCAAGACCCGAAGTACAGCTGGCTCTCTCTGGGCACTTTTATGACAGTGTGGTTTGTCACCCAGATGGGAAGTGTTCTACCAGAGCCTGCAGAAAATACCAACATGACTGCCTGTGCCCCATTCCTCCAGGAATAAGTAACTAGGTAGAAAACAAAGGATCACAAACACGTGTGTTGTTACCCAAGAGTGTGAGCATTGTTCTGAGGAAGGGCCTGAATAAAGGTGCACTGTGGTGTCACCGTCAGGGCTTCCTGTCTGAGACATGCAGGAGCAAGGAGGGAGGTATGCAGGGATGACAGGACGGCTGTGCCAGAGGCAGGGCTGTGGCCCAGGGAGGTGCCTCTTGCCTCGGGTGCCCCGTTGGTCCTTGTGGTCTAGGGAAGGCAGAGGCCTGAG